TACTCTTTTTATTGCACTATATTCCCCAATGCTGCTGTGTGTAACTTGAATTTCTCCTACGGAGGATTAATAAAGGTTTATCTTATCTTATCTTATCTTATCTTATCTTCCCATTATTACCCTTTAAAACTGCAGTAGCAGAAACAACTTTTTGTCATATGTGCTGAAACTTTCAGTATATCCTGACAAGAGACAGATAATGAAATAAATCAGGTTCCTCTGGCTCCTCCTAGTGCTCAGAATGGCTGTTTCCAAAATCTACCGAATCTGACCGAGAACAAACCAATCAGAGCTGAGAAAGATTGATCGCTGGGTCTAATTTCCAGATCGTCAAACACTGACACTTTAGGTACCAGGGAATGAGACTTTATAGATTATCTGTCTGTCAGGATAAAGTGAACAAGTTTGTGCCAACTTTTATTAGTATTATTACCAACCGCAGCTTGAAGTAGAGCTTAATGAAGTTTAAATTCCAGTTTACAGGAAGCTCAGATTTGCATCCCCGAGCAGCCAGGCGGTAACCCAGCATTTGTTTTCACAGACAGAGGTTGCTAGGCACAGTTAAACACCTTCACCATGCTCTGTTAGTTTCTCCTGAAAGTAATGGCCGTCTTGTTTGTCGTGTTTATGTAAAAGGCCAGCTGATTCATGCGGTGTAAAGCGTTGAGGTCAGGGCAGTCTGCTGCCCATAGGCCTGTTTTCTACCACGCAGTACAAAGCTCTGTTATCACTGTGCAGCAGGCAGGCAGCTGCTCTGACTCAGCAAATAAAGTGTTTAACTCTCTGTGGACCACAGAGCTGCTGCACTGATCTTACCAGAGAGAGATGGGAAACCAGTCGATGTCTTCACACTTTGATACAGTGGAATTTGCTGCAACACTGCAGATAAACCATATACTTTTGCATTTATTGTTGCATTATTAGTCCTAAACCTGGGAACTGTATTTATATATTCAGCTTCATCAAATAATAGGTAAAGATATCATCAACGTATTGGTATCAGTTGAGCTAAACTTTAGCCAAGTTCAGTATCTCTTTGTCTGCACAAACATGAGTGAATTCATACATGTAAACACATATTACACATTGCATAACATGTTGTCCCAGTTGAAGATGTCACAATGTGTGTGATTTTATCTTTTGGTTTGCCTCTGTGTATTGATAGTCAGAGGGTAATTGTGGCGGTTTGCCTTTGAGCTAAAAGGCTTGTGATCAGTAGGTTTTTTTACCAGCAGCTATTTTAAACTTCTTTATAACGTTGTTGTTTTTAACCCCTCCTCACAAAATCCATCCATTCTGATACTGGAGATTTTGATGTCCCGTGCTGTTTTGCTATAATTGTTTACCCAAACCTTCCACAGTAGGAGTCTCCTGGACGCATTTGCAATAGCCGCATCAAGTTGGAGTAAGATTTGATGGCATTTTATGTAGCGGTGGCATTACAGCAGTATGAGAAATTTTAAATGGCTTTTCATTTCTTGTGATTTTTGTATCCATACACAGTCTGAATAATCCTGTACAGGATTAATTTATTCTCTTAAAATCTGCACGATTGTATATCACTGTCCGTAGTATGTAGATCGGGATGCATATGCAGATTTAGTGCTTTCCAGCTTGTTTAGAGGAGAAAAACAATTTAGTATAATGGTAGGGTTATCTTAAGGAACCAGTGTGTAGGATTTAGTTAAGGATTAAGTTGCAGACTGCAACCATTTGAATACAGCTCAGCCTTCCAAGCGTATAATAATGCGAAAGGTCCTGTTTAGAGCGAGTATTTGGTTTGTCCCTTCTGAGCTACTGTAGAAACATGGTGGTTCAACATAGACTCTGTACTAGTGGACCGCTCCCTCTGTAGATAAAAACAACTCATTCTAAGGTAATAAAAACACGATTGTCATTTTCAGTAATACAGTAATGAAAACATACCTATGCACCCAAATGTTGCACACTGGACCTTTAATATTATGCCCATATGAACATTAAAGAGTCCTTCAATGTAATTTTTTCATTTAAAATAGCTAGATCTATTTGGGAAGTAGATGTCCATTTCACAATATTTACAAAAAATCTGATTCCAAAATGTTTCTCGGTTTGAGGCAAAGGTCTCAAATATCTTTTGCTGTGGTCGTTATAGCTCATGTTGCTTGCAGGCTGATGGATATCTCTTTTTATAATGAACACGTCCCATACTTCTGAATGCCACGAGGAAGCTGTCAGCCATCACACAGTATCATTTTATTACATCAGTTAACAAGGCGACAACTCCTTTTTCCCCATTTGAACAGATCAGAAAATATTCATCTTTTTCTTTTTCAGGAATTTGCACAAATGGCAGACACACACAAATGATTGTTTCTGAATATCATCACAAATGATTGAGTTGACACGTGAAATATACAACGTAGAGCGAAATCAACGTTCTGGGGTGATAATATGTAATAGTATGTTTAAATTAAAAGGTACAGTGCATCATTGACATGGTCATAATGTGAACAATATTCTCATAGAAATATTGTTTTGATTGGCAGCTAGATTCAAGTTTTGCCCGTGAAGTGGACTCAGCTGTGAGTGTACTGAAAGAGAGAGAGCCAGACAAAGAGAGAAAAACATCACATGCCAAAATTTGTGAGTCCACTTCAGTGTCTGAGAAACAAGAGGCGACATTTCCTCCTGAATGTGTCTGCTTCACTTCTCTAACCTCGTAAACATTGGCACTTTCATTGGTGTTCCTGTTGGCACTAACTGGAAGACAAACTTGTTTCTCTGAGGAACCAAAATAATTTGAGGATTCATTCCTTTTCTCTGGCTTTTCTGTCGCAAATACACAATGAAAGCACATGCATCAACAACAAAAAACTGTACGACTCATCACATCTGGACCCATAATCAGGCTTCTGCATGTTAAAATAATGCTTTTCCGTTACTTCTATCATTCAAAAACAAGAAAGGGCGGGTATATGAGCTTTGACATTTGCGTGAATCCAGCTGACATTGAGATCCGTAGAGATACGCTGCCGTTCATACAACATTTCACACTGCCGGCTTCTGTTGTAAGGAGGATGACTGAAGAGGGGGGAGGTGTTAAGGAATGTTTGCTGTTTGATGTTTGGTGTTTGATGTGATCAAGCCACCATGTTAATGGAGAGACAGCAAAAAAGAACATTACGTCATTGTCTGCTTTTTTCTCCAACAAAACAAAAACATAATTTCTGGGGGGCAGGTTGATGCTCTATGTCACATTCATATCATATGGATGTAAAATTAGCTTTTCTGAAAGCTCCAATTGATCAGACTAAATAATATAGAATTGCTCGAAAAGCAAACATGGATGGCTCCTTCACAGTGACTAATTCAATGCTAATGTGTCAAATATAGATTATTATTAATTGTTTTGCACATGAACAGTAAAATAAACTGCAGCTCATTGCTGAATAACTATTACTTAAAAGTGCAAATCAGTAACAATTGTGAACTTGAACCATCGGATAATTTGAATGCTTGCAAGCTGTAACAGAAATCCTTTGCTCTTATTGCTCTCTTCCATTTCCACATGATACAAGCACAACATCAGTCCTACAAACCTTTCCAGCAGAGCTGCTCTGGAAGGAGAAACAATCTCATTGGTTGAGTTAGACGACTCTTCGGTGGAGCCACAGAGGCAATACTCTGGGTAAGAATAAGAATATTTGCAAAAGATAAAGAGAAGTGTGGAAAAAGTGTATCCACAAATGATGACAAAGGTTTGCTAGTTACAGTATCGTAGCTGACCGCATGCTCAAACTAGCCTTAAATGCCTATATCAATACAGATAAGCTAGTTAGCAAGCATGCCGAGCTTCCAAAATCATGAATGCAATGGTCAGGAAAGCAGAAATTCTGTGATATTTATCTTTAATCATTTCATTCCTTGCAAGTGAATGTTTTAGTTTGGCTCAACCCAGTGAGATTTAATTCAAACAGTGAGACCATTTCTGCAGCAGCTCTCACACACAGATCTATTTCTATTTAGGTATAATTTAAATCTTCTCAGATAATAAAATAACAGGAACAACGTGGTGCCGAGTAACTACAGGTCATCACGCTCCAAACAACCTGCTGTTCTCAGGGTGTAAAAGGAAAATGAACACGGCGGAGTGGTGGTGGTGAACAAGGTGGCTGTGTGATGGAAACACTCCACCAGTATACATCAACAGGAGCTGGAGGAGACAACTTCTGAAACACAGCTGAAGTGAGTCGCTCCGTTTTCATCCAGGTTACGTCTTCTCACTGGCTCAGGCTTAGATAACCAGGGAGTGTGCAAAGAGTCAAAAGGTCAGTATTTGACTAGCAGATAGGACACATGTTGTTACTCCAGAGTCTTGAGAAAACTCTTGCTGTCTGTCCTGCTCGGGTTAAAAGCTTCAGTTCTTCAGGTAAGTCACAGTCAAACCAGAGCTGAACCCACACTGTTACTCCATGATGTTCCTGTTGTAGTCATATGACAGCCGTCGCTTAGCGGCAGCGTTCTGGGCGTGCTGATTGGCTGAGGGGAGGCCGGGGGAGAGACGGCGGTTGGCTGTCCGGGGAGCAGGTCTGCTTTCCTGCAAAGAACACAAAGAAGATATGACTTTAAAGTATTGAACATCAGCAACCCTCCCATGGTTTACTCCAGAAGTGCTGAAGTGATGCATTGATTAATTAATTTGTTGGCTAACAGAAAATGTATCTACAACAAATATGGTAATTGATTATTGTTGTGTAATTCATCAAGCCAGGACATTCAATAAAATTGTAAATGGAAGATTTTTGTACAATATATATAATAATAATGGAAATATTCTCAGAATGGTCTGCGTTCTTGTAGTGCTTGAATGCTAAAGTGGCCCTGGTAAGATGACACCACCAGCAATGGCCCCCCGAGCCAATTTGAGACCCCTGCTTTACACAGTGTGGAATTCCCCGCAGAACCGAGTCTGGAGCAGTAAACCACGCATTTGCATATGTTGCAGGTGTGCTGTATTTTTCCTACATGGTTTGGTTCAACGGTGAGACTGTAATCCCCTGTTATCTATGACTGTGAAGTGTGAGGAGTGTTTTGCATGTAACAGCGGTCACTTCATTTGAATGAAGCTGCTGTTCTTAAGACCGTCAGTCAAACAGCACTATCAGTTCATTTTACATGCTGTTAAAACTACGCTGACAAATTCAATTAAACAACACCCGAGCTTCACAAATTGAAGCTGAACACTGAACTCTCTGTGCTAATTCCTCTGCATGCAATTATATTTAGAGTGTGTGTAGAGAGAGAGCATTTACTGTAACATTTGATTTTAAAGTGTTTTTCTTACAGAACACTGAAATATACGTCAGCCCTGACGGGAATCAAGTGATCGGGACACACTTTGTTGTCTGAAAAATGCCATTGGCGGGTTTGTCAGTGTGAATGGTGCCAGTCTTTACTCACAGTGTGCGGCTGCTGCAGGTGTAAAGTCTTCAGCAGCAGGTCACGAGACACACCATTAGCTCTCTTGTACCTCTGGCAAATCATTTTGTTCAAGTCATGGAAACTGTCCAACAGCCTGCAGGGTCAAACACGAACAACACACAGAGAAAGCAATGACTCATGGGGCAGACACAGTGACAGGTTGTTTTCTTTTTAAGTTCAATATCAGATATATACTGTGGGTAAAACTTAAAATAATATTTTCTCCATTATATCTACACCCACTTCAAGGGTTTGTGCCAGGTGACAGGTGTGTAGAAAGGTCAATAACGGACTTTATTTACAGAGAAACAATTTAAAACTGGAGAACTAAAACTGTGCAGGACTTTAAAAAAAAAGTGTGAAAGTGAAAGTTGAGAATCAGATAACCACCCACAGGACTCTGTAATTCTGACTCAAAACATAGACAAAATAAGACACCAATCATTGATGCTGTCTCGCATTTGGCTTGATGGGGGGACACATTATCTCAGGTACTCACACTTATTGATCCATTGTATATTCTATTTACCACAGAAGCTGTGATAGACAATGAATAGCTATAACACAGATCACAGAAAATATATACAACTAATAAAGGTATATACATAGTACGGGCCATACCTCACTGGTACCACTTAGTCACTAGTGTGATGTGATAACTACTGTCGTTTGTCAACAATTACCCTGCTGGAGTGTTGTAGCGAAAATAATTTCCCCCTGGGATTATTAAAGTATTTCTGATTCTGATTCTGATTCTGACTGTTATTTGGGATTTTCTTGGACAATTTATGTGTGACTGATGATACTGATCTAATGGCAACTGTCTGCTCCAATACACAACGCCAGAATAACAGCAACCATATTTGTTTAACTGTAATTTGCATCGCAGACTTTAAGGACTGCTTACACACCTGTGTCATGTGATAATCAACCATAAACACAGTACGGCTCCGACTTGCAGTTCACCACATTGACCACTTGGTGGCCACAATTGGTCAGATTTTCATAAACATTAGCTCCACACAGTCACCCTGATTCCAACATAAACTTTACTATAAAACATCAAATTAAGTCTTTAGTTAAAATTAACTCCTAGTTCATAGAGATAGAGATAGAGAGTTCTGATGCAAATACTTATATATATATATATATATATATATATATATATATATATATATACCCTTTTTATATAATTAAGAGTTAAACCTTTATTTAGCACATATTGCACGTTGATGATACATTTCATTATAATCTACCATAACACAGCAGCTCTTGACTATTAAAACTGATTATTGTATCACATTACACCACACAAACATCAGTTTAAAAAACAGTATAAATCATGTATAAGTAAAAAAGACCTGAAAATATCATTTGTTTAAGAATCAAAGGATGAAGATTAACATAAAAAATAATAACGGTATTTCTGTTAAAAGGGTGAATATATGAAGGTCCAGTGTGTAACAGTGAGGAGGATCTATTGGCAGAACTGGAATATAATATCCATAGGCATGTTTTCATTACACATTACATATAATCACCTGAATATAGGAATCACTGTGTTTTTGTTACCTTAGAATGAGCTCTTTTTATCTACAGAAACCGCGGGTCGCCTTCGATACTTTACTACAGTGGCCCAGAATGGACAAACCAAACACTGGCTGTAGGTAGGGCTTTTCATATTTTAAACAAGTCTTTGGCCACCACAGTTTCTCCCACACACTTTACAGCTCATTCTCATTCCCATTTCATCAAATACAGACGCGAGTGGTGTTCAGTTAGTTGCAATCTGAAACTTCACCGCTAGATGCCGTTAAATCCTCCACACTGGTCCTTTACGTTGTGTGAAATTGTGTTTAATGATTAGAAGTATTATTTTAGCTTCAGCCTACAACTTTTCTGTCTATGAAAAAATCTTTCAGCCTTTAAGTTTTGTAATGTAAATTTTTTTTCTCTTTTATCCCAAATAGTCTGTGCAATTATTTACAGACAAAAATACATTTTCAGTTTTAAGTTCATTTTCAATGTATTCCTCTGGGAGAAAATACCCACTTATGAAGAGTTTCTTGTTCAATTCAGCGATAGACACGTTGTGATCCCACTTTTACCTGATCTTAAACATAACCAGAAAGATTCTTGACTGGATTCATGAGGTATTTATTTTCCCTTTAATAAAGATAAAATATCCCACATCAGAAAACAGATATTTTCCTGCTCAGCTGATGCAGGTTAACTTGTGGCACTGTTGCTATGTTCATGTTCTGTCCGATTTGCAGTAAATATGAGCTTTAGACAGCAAAGAATCCTCCATGTAATTTTCCTACAGCTGATTAAAAGCATGTAATGTTAGATTCTTCTCCAGGCTCTGACGTATCCGATTACAAATTGGAGGAATGTGTCAACACAGCCAGTAAACGCTGCGGCCGATCAATTAATATACAGTAAATCACAATGATTCGGGCTATGTTAGCGGACATATAGTGGGCTCAGTTAACATGTTTGACTCACCCCTGGTCCTGGCTGGCTTTGCCCCTGAGGAGCTGGGTCAGTGTGGGAACAGTATGGAGGTCACAGGGGTCACTTGAGGACGCACCAGGCAGCGAGGGGAAGGCTTCAGCAAAGACAGCCGCCTACAGGAGAGACAGAGACCTGATTGGTTACTACAACATCAGAGAGTCCCGGGATTTCAAGAATGGTGTTTATTGGTGTTGGTGTTTATGAGCAGAAGACTCATGTGACATGACTGGAAAAAAACAACAAAAACAAATAAACATGCCACCCACAAGATGCATCCTTACAGATTTTTTTGCAGCCCTCTTCAGTTTATCACATATAAAGTAAATATGATAAATAATAAATAATAATATAAATACGTAATGTTGTTATAGGCGCCTTCATGTAATGATTAGCATATGAAAAACTCATTTGAAAACAGTTTTCTTCCAACACTCTCATTCGCTGAAGCTTTGGGCAGAGCTAATTTTTCATCTGCATCTTTTCACTGCGGGTTAATGTCTGCTGGGAGACGCTTCTCGCAGCGCCGACTTCTTTTAAAAAAACGACAACATTTTTTTAAGAAAAAAAGACTGAAAGCTTTGACAGGCCCAATGTGAGTTACAAAATACTGACTCATTTTAAGTCTAAAAACTTAGTCATCCGACCCTGAGGGCTGTGGCAGGACGGGCTGCGTTTCCATGGTAACGGTGCAGAAAATGAAAAAACGTGGGGGCTCATAATTAGGAGGTTATAGTTTTGAGTGATTAAATATAGAATATTATGATTAAACACAATTTTGTGGAAAGTTAGACCATAAGGCAATAACTAATGGTTGCATTTTGTTTTGGATCTGGATCCAGGAATTTTAGACTTAATCGACACCTGGATCCAATGATCCTTTAATGTTAGCTTAGCATGCTGATATTACGACGACAGTGCTAATGACACATTGGCTAAATACAATAATGTAATAATGAAGACCAAAACAAGGAGTTCATATTTTAGTTTGTTTGAGTCACACTGTTGCATAAATCAGTCTCTTTCTTACTGTTAAAGCAGCCTAATCAACATGCAGAAAGATATATTAGTAGTTTCTAACAGTCTGTTTTAATAATTAAATAACAGCCAACTAATTTACATAAAATAACACCAGCCAGAGATGGAGTCACGTGGTTTTCCTGCAATGTGTCACTGTCTATTACAGAACCAGCTCCTGTAATTTGCCAGCGGCTAAAATGCCATGCAAAATGCTGGCTTTTATTATGAAAGACCAACCTCCAACTGTAGTATTGATCATGTCTGAAGGCACTAAAATCAGCTCAACTATTCAAAGGGGGACCAACAGAGTCAGAATCACACATAGCATAGACCATTTGATGAGCTTGCCAGGTCTTTGTCTCGTAAAGTTTATCTTGACTTCTTCCTTCATTGTATGAGTTGACTGATGTTATAACAAGTGATCTTCTAGGACAGTAAAATACTTTCTCTGCTTCAGTTTTCACACAGTGTGCTGATCTGAGGAAACTCAGCTTTCTATATAAAAACTGAGATACACTGCAGTTTCACTCCAGACTGGTTGTAATTATTACTCGGATCACAGACATGTGCCGTCCATACGGATTAAAATCACTGAATCACTAATACTGAATTCACCCCACCTCCCCAAGAGCAATAAATCCAAAGGTCCGGATGGGCCTTTAATTAGAGTCACAGTCATATATTTGTACAAACAGCCCCAAGAGCTCAGGACATTCATGGTTTAGCAAAATTGATTTTCACCAGCAGAAGGACTTTTGCTTTGTGTGGCTTTAATACTGATCAAAACAAGTAGTTTCAAGCAGACACATAGATTAAATGATGCACCAAGGTCTGAGTAATAAATTATTAAATTAAATAATTTACAACTGGTTTATTTTAGACACAGCCAGGATTATACAACATATAGTGGTCCTTTGGGTTACAACTGCTCTGATAAATGTGGCCTGGACTCATAAACAGAAATATATTCTACATACTGTGTTTTTATTGTTGTTATTGATTTACTTTGGGAGCCTCAGGGGACTTGCAGTCAGCAGCCAGCCTGTCAACACATTTAACCCTCAGCTGGAAGGTAAGTGAGGAGAGGATAGTTATGTCACAGGAGCTCAAATTAGTGGCACAAAGATTTTAAAGCAACCTCTGCAACACATAGCTCTTAGTGGACGCTTCCTTTCAGATATTCTTACAGCACCACGCCTGCGAGGCTTTAAGGTGTGAGCTGACCTGGAAGGAATGGAAGCCTGACAACAGTTGATGTTTGTAGGTCATAATTTTCCTTTTAAGCTCTTTTTTTCTGTGTGGACAAAAAATAAAAATGAAATCCAGTGAAATGGCACCACCGCTGTGTCTGAGACGGATTATTAAAGCAATCTTCAAGCAATATTTGACTTCACACTTTGACTAGGTTCAGCAATCTGCCACCAACATTAGCTGCCCCGGGAATCTGCTGTTACCACTGGCACTTTGAGAGAACTTTTGATTTTCTGTCGGACTCTCAGTATCAGTAATTGCAAACAGATGGTCAGATTCATACTTTACAAAATACAGTCCAGACTCAAACTGAGCCTGAGGGCTGAAACCTCTTCTGAACACAAGGCCAACTAAAGCCCAACCTTATAAGCCACATGCTAGTTGCTACCGAATAAAATATTGGTATAAAATCATGTTTGAACTGAAGACTGGCTCCTGTCTGGGCAAGCAAGACACAATCTCACTAAATAAACAGATACTGGTGAGGTCCATGTCTGGAGCAGGTTCGTGGGTTGCAAGTTAGCCTAAAGAGTTTTGGGTACAACTTCACTACAGATACAACAGTTTGCTGGCAGAAAATATTACATATATTTAAATTATAGACAGTAAAGGTCAGGTTTAGATGTCACTTTTTAAAGGTCCAGTGTGTAACATTTAGGAGGACATATCAGCAGAAATTAAATATAATATCCATAGGTATGTTTTCATTAGTCTAAAAAAACCTGAAAATATCACAGTTTATAACTACAGAGGTAGTGGGTCCTCTTCTGCCATTTTCTACTGTAGCCCAGTAGGACAAACAGTCACTGTAGTTTTTCCTACACCCTTAGAAGGCAAACAGCATTCAGTTGGTTACAATCTGGAACTTCACTGCTAGATGCCACTAAACCCTACACTTTCAATCCGTGAGCACAGACTATTTTCAACATCACAGGTTGATAATCGAACCACCAGGCATTCACTGCCAGTAATTTCCAATACGATACAGTAATGATGCAAACCAATCGAGTCTGTCAGTTAATCTTTCTGAGAAAATTGATGTAACCTAATGGTTTCATAAAAACAGAGGTACAACTAGTACTAACCAGATTCTGATTGGTGAAGAGTCTGTCTCTGCTCTCCTCCACAGCGCTGGTTGGCCACCACTGCCCCACGACGTCTCTACGTCCATCTGACGAATCCTGAGGAAAGGCTGTCCAGGTGTCGTCTGATTGGGGGAACGGGCTGTCCGTCCAGCCTGGTGTCCAGTGGGTCGACTCCCCGGTGATGGCGTTGTTTCCAAGTGCTGTTTTCAGACACACACACACACGGTTAATAGCACAGTATAACATCTGCTGACGTCCCTGTTAGTGTTGCGGTGTGTGCAGTGAACAGCTGTCACGTTTCCAGCCGGCTTTGCCCTCATTCAGATGACCTGAATGGATGACCGACTAAACCTACCTAACATAGGAGAAGTTAGCTGGAAGCTAGAAAAACAGATAGCTAATAATGGGCCAGCATCATCATACACATACACATAATCCATGCTATCGATGGTTAGATTAATTATTAGGATTACCACATAAAGGGTGAGTTTACACATATGACAGGTAGTTCTAGTTTTAGTCACTGAGATTCTGGGTTACCTACCACTGAGACTTCTACTATGATCTACCACCAACACTGCAGTTACAATTTTACCTTCACATGTTCAGTAATTATGAATCTTTAATAGCACACTTTGAGACCATATGGAAGATTATAATTAAAAAAGTCCAAGAGGAATGATGTAGTATGAACCCACTAGCACGAAATCATATTGCAGTTATTTTGACAACAATTTGAATTTTAACTTCTTATTTAACAATTAAAATAGGATAGGATTTGTACCAAACAAACATGCTCTCTTACATCTGGACAACATGATTTGTAGGTCAGAGCAGCTCTTCAGAACTACTGCATTACAATGCGGGTTGGTCACATATTTGGATTAATTGTGCAGCCCTAGTATGAACGTCTCCAGCAGTACTGCAGCGCTGTGTACTTACAGTCTGATGTTATTTAACACTTGAGAGATCAGTCCCACCAGTTCAGGTTTTAAACTGGTATTGGATCTGTATTGGCAAATATTTGTGCCACATCCTGTTGTCTGTTGTTGAAAGGTTATTTGCTGTATCAGCAGGTCTTTAAGCATGTTTTTCAGCTAATCACACTGCGATGTCGCTGCAAGGGAACAATGTCTTACTTTGATGCCTGCTGCCTTCTCACATTACCTTCCATTGCTCAGACCTTGCATGATGCGTCTATCAGACACTTCAGTCGTCTTTGTGTTTGTGTGACTTTCTCTTTCACCCGTCGCCCCATAACCTGAGGCTAAAAGGAGCTTAGAGTCCTAGGCCCTGTTTGCCTCCTCCTCCCCCTCTTAACCCAACTCTGAATGATTAATTCAATGTAGCGAGAAAGAGAGATTGGTTAGGAATTCAGGTCAGGAGAGACTAGTCTCATAGTCTCACTTCAACTGTAAGTGGTGCTTACTAGGGCAAGAAACAACCCTCTATGTTTATCAAAAGATTAAAAGTGCGTTTGGTTAACTCATTTTGTATTTAATGCCATTAAGTTATGTTATTTCTTCAGAATCCAGTTCCACCATCGGTAAACGTTTTATGGACCATACCTGTAGTTTGACAGGTTTCAGTCAGTTTACTGCAAACTGCAATCATTTGTTTTGAGTAGACTTTTTAATATATTTTTCCAGATTCCAGGCAACCATTTGCACCTCTTCACTTCTGTATGGTATAAAAATTATTTAGCAGACTCTTCAATCTTGCTTAAACGTGTAATCCATCACATTGAATATCAAGCCTGCATGAAGATACATTAGTGTTAGTGTATCAATCTGCAGTTAAACCACATGCCATCCACAATAATGTAACTATGTTAGAGCGCAATAATGTAACTATGTTACATTATGTGACAGACATTATACAATGCATTTTTATGACATAAAGATGTTTTAAAACTCAATTCATATTCAATTTATATTCATCTAATTTAAGCAATGGCTGCCTTCAGGCATTTCAAACTGATCTGCAAAACTGTATGCAGTGCAGTTCAAGGGTTGTTTCACCTGAATTACAAAACACATACATACACATAATAAAATTCGGCTCAAGGTGTGTATATGTGCACTCTAAAAAATTACTGTTTAAATTGGAAATACTATCATCCAACCAAATATATGAAAACAGAAAACTACAATGAGTTCTGTGGAATATCTAGAGTCATGGGAATACTTGCAAACCTGAGCAAATAAAACCAAAAATGATCTGTATGACAACTAAAGGTGTGAAAAATACATTTTTGTCAGTTGGGTGAAGCGACTCTTTAGGATTTAAAACTTACAAAAACACTGGAATGGTCCTTCAACCCATGCCAATGTACAGAGCACCTTCTGCTAATTAACTTCCAACTGATAAATCTTCATGTTGAAATAACTGCAGAAATGTTTTTAGGTAGATAAATAATAAATAATAAATAAATATTGAGTAAACCCGGCTTAGCCTCGCTTGGCCCCGCAGTGGAAACTGGGCTTAGGTGATTAGCTAAAGGAAGCATAATGAAGGAACATAACGACTAATGAACACTGGCTGTTAAACTGAAAAACAAAAAGGCACAAAGACTCAAGGATGCATGTGTGGTTTTCCCCCCATTCTGTATTACTATTTAAAATGTTTCTTTATACAATATCCTCAATGTGAATTTACACAGAAACATGCAACTCTCCTAGTAATCTAATGGCCTTGTACGTTTTTGTTACCAATTTTATTATCTCAGCTGTATGAGAGTATTTTCAGGCATTTTCATCTTTATAGGACAGTGAAAATAAAGAAGTAGATGTAAACTGGGGAGAGAGGGAGAGAGAGAGAGAGAGAGAGAGAGAGGGTGACATCCAACTAAGGTCCCCAGCAGGAGCCGAATCAGTGACTTGTCTGTTATGTGGCACAAACTGTAACCGTTTGCCTACCAAGGCACTCAAATTATGTTTTGTTTGTCATTTTGACATGGTGGATGGTTTTAAATACAACAATACCCATGAACCTCGGCTGCCGTTGCTATGGAGAATCTATCAGCTATCAGGGAGAATCCAAAACAAAAACAAAACATGGCTTCATAGTCACTGAATTCATCCAAAATTCACCCAGAATACAAAAGTGAATCCATGTAAACTGCAGATTGTGTCTCCAACTGTAAGTCACATGTCATCCTCAATGGGAAAAATGAATGGATGGATTTTTACTCTTGGAAGGGTGTCCAAAATAGATTGTCCCACATGCAACTCTATACAATTAGCAGTATGTCTGTATGTGTAATCCATTAGATCTAGTCTGCAGTACTGTTTCTTAGTGTTACAGCATAATTAAAGCATAAAACAGCTTAAGTGCAGATTCTGGGCTACTGTAGAAACATGGTGGTGGCATACAACATAAGTATGCATATTATATTCAATTTTTGACAATATATCCTGTTTTTAACACACTTTTACACACTGGACCTTTGAAAATTATACACCTGATTACCTCATAATGATACTGTAGCTTCATACAGTAACAACAGGAAAAACATTCATATTTCTGACACATATTTCAGTGTGATTTGTACTGAACATTGAAAACTACTGACATGGCCATTTAAAAGTGTGTGCATGCATTCCTGAAACTGTACAAAAGGTTACAAATGCACTAATACTCTGCAAATCTCCAGAAAGAACACAGAGAGCGATGATATTCCTATATCTCTAAATCTGTACATTTCTGACATCTTTAAATTTTCTGAAGCCTTTGAATGTCAGCCTTGTCGACTTTAACCGAAAGACACACTGTCTCACGTCTATGGCAAATGATAAGGCAAACTTACTAAAACTCCCAAAGTGGTGAGAGCGATACTAAAAGAGAAAGAAAGAGAGGGGGGGAAAAGGCCAGCCAGCAGACATAGGAAGAGAAAGACAAACCAAAGCAGTCGTGAGACTCACCAACACTCTCTCTGCTCCCACAAGGCACTGAGGCAGACATGGTGGATCCCTCGCTCCAGGCCAGCTCTCCCTCCGCTTGCATGAACACTCCAAACTCATCTTCCTCCTCCTCCTCTTTCCTCCCCTCCTCAGTGGGGGCCGTGGTGGAGCCCCTCTCCTCCTCGTCCTGCTCCTCCAGCTCTCGCCCGTGCCTCCTCTTCCCTTCCTGGCCTCCTTCTCCGTCTCCTGCTGTCACTCCGACCCCTTTCTCCTTCTCCGCCTCCAGACAGGGCAGGCCGGTTGCCATGGATTCCAGGGGGGGCAAAGAGGGGGCAGGATTAGTCAGGGAGAGCGCAAGAGAGGTGGAGGGATCAGCACAGGCCATATTAGTGACGTTAGTGCTGGTCTCTCTGCTTGTTTGCCCACAGGTGTCTCCAACCTCTTCCACCCCCCCCCTGCATCCATCTGCAGACTCCTGTAACCTCCAGTTGGCTGTTAGTGCACAGTTTCTCGTTCCGTCTTCATTATCATCCTCCTGTATGTCTTTTATGTTGTCCTCACTTTGGCGTTCTTTCTCGCCATTACCTTCACCATCGCCATTGTCCAGCTCGTTGCAGGTGCACTCCCTCCTCCACATCTCCCCAGCTTCATCCCCTTGCTCAGGATTTACTCTCTCTTCTGTATTCTCTTCATCTGACTCCTCTTCTCTATTTACCCTCACCAGCCCATCTCTCCGCTCTGCTCCGTTAAGCTCGGTTGTACTATAGTTGCAACCGTTTTCCATTACGATCCTCCCATCTGTCTCGAGGATGGAAGGATCTCTGTGTCTGAGAGGTGAAGATGAAGCATCTCTCTCTTCTAGCTGGCTGCTGTTTTCCATGTTTTTAAAGAAAAACAGAGGTTTTCTGTTCTCGTTCACAGTGTTTTTCTCATCAGCCGCACAGTTCGGTTCCTGTCGCTCGGATCGGCTAACATCCAGTTCTCCTCCACCCATGATCCCAGGGTCTGCTGCCTCTTGTTGATACCCCTTGAGGTGATCTTTTTTGCTGTTCTCTGTCTCTGTTCTCTGCTCAGCACTGCAGGTGCTGCCCTCTACAGGAGTGGAAGGCTCAGGTGGGACTGCAGTGCTGATAGAGGCACGGCAGGTAGAGACAGAGACATCCTCACAGCAGTTGGATACAATCGAGAATTCAGCAGGAGTCTGATTGATGCTCCCTTCCTCCTCTTCAACAGCCACACTCTCCTCGTCTTTCTCTGATTTTCGATGTGCCTCCACACGATCAGAAAATCCATTTACGTCAGCTGCTATTTCCTCACAGGGGTTTTCACTTGGTTTTCTGTCATCAAAATCTCGGTTATGTCTTGACGTAAAGTCATCAGTCGAATGCTCAGAGTGGGGATCATTGTTTGTATGTATTACCATAACTTCAGTGTGTGTGTCCTCCTCTTTCTGTGAATAGCCGTCCTTGCTGTGAGAGGTTTGCGTCTTCAGCTCCTCATTGCTCTCGGCGTCTCTAATCTCTTCAACATCACAGCTGCTGTGGGATTCTGGGTGAAAGTTGTTAGATTCTAGGTCAGGGTTTGGTACAGCCAAAACTGAGTTAGATGACTCAAACCCACAAAGGACTCCCTTTCCCTCCTCCTCATTCTTTTGCCTCTCCTTCCTCATTTCCTTCACCTCACTATTCAGCCTGTTTGGGACGTCTCTTCTTGGACTTTCACCTCTCTCATGTTCAGCCTGGCTTTCCCTCCTCTGTGCTCTCCTTACACACTGAGTACAGGTTTTGGGAGAAGCATTGTGGCAGCATCTGGGACTTCTGAATGCTCCCTCCTGTCTGGCTCTCCTGATGTCCTGCTGCGAGCTGGGAAACTGTTTACTGTCCAGGCCTCCTTTGTCTCGCTCTTCCTGCCTTTCTTCCAGTGTGATTTCTCCAGCAGGATCCTCCCTACTACTCTGCTGCCTCTCTCTGCTCACGCCTGTTTTTTCACGACCAGCTGCGTTACAGGACTTCCTCCATCTCCGGCCAGATCGCACTCTAACCCGGTTTGCTCCGGTCTGTGCCAGAGGAGTTGGCCCATGGTCCCTCCTCCCGGCTGGTGTGTCTCTGCTTCCTCCTCCTCCTGTCTTTCCTCTCAGCCACCCCCCAACCACACTGGAGGCCACACTGGTAGTCACACCAGAACCAGGCTTAGCTGTCGAGTACAAACAGCTACCTTTCTCAGTCCGGAGAAAGAGGCATTGTGTCTGTGTCTTCCCGCTGCCCTCTGAGGTCTTCAGAGTGGCAACTGTAACCAAAGCTCCAATCCCAGCCTGTCCAGCATCCAGCCCCAAGGGAAGCCCGTACCCCATGCGACCCCACTCTCCGCTCAGATACACATCTGCAGGCCTGGGACAGGAAGTCGAGCCACGGCGGCCTGCAAGAGGAGCTGTCGGGGCTTGTCCTCCTCCAAGCAGACCACCAGCCTTCCGGCGGTTCTTGGAGCAAAGGGCCCAAGCTCGGAGGCCCCGAATCAGCGGCAGGTCACCCAGACCCAGCTCCAGTCGGCTGGGGAAGGGCAGAGAGGCTCTGGAGCACTTCTGGAGCATCTCCCGGGTGGAGCCTGACACATTCAGGCAGGGGTAGTTATTGTTGTTATTCTGCTGGAGCATGGTGTTTGTTGTTGGCCTCATCTATGTTTTATTGGTTTGTCCTCGCTTTTCCTTTATCAAAATGCAGCCTGTCAGGTGAGAGGGACTGCTGGCACTATCAGGAGTCTATCCTTGATACAGAGCGTGACAGCTCGAAGGTAAAAACATCATAGTGTGGAAAAGATACACTAAACATTATGAAATAGCTGGAATACTCTAAGGAATTTCTTACTAATTCATTCTGACAAAGGAGAAAATATTTACTTGACCCTGCAAGAGAGAGCTGACTCCCTTGCTGACTTCATGTCTTAGCATTTCATCCCAACAACATCAGAGTTTTTGGACAAAAAACAGAATCGGTTGTTTTCCGGACAGCCAGCTGGAGCTATGCTTCTGTTTCTCTTTATCGCTCCTCAACTTTGAGAGTCTCCTGACGAAGAAAAAAAGCACCCAGGTCAGACATCCAGCTGTCAGAGCGGATGATAGAGAGGATATTGAGAAGTTTGTTTTCTTCCAGAGCGATGTGACGCCGTCTTCAGAGCCTCACCGCCCTCTCTGCTGGTACTGAAAACTGACTCAGCTGTCACAAAACAACCTGCAGGGGAGTGGGACAAAACAAGGAAATTAAAGACTCATGGTTCAAAAGATGTGATGTGTGCTCATTAAAAATAGTAGATATATGAATTAATCATTGGCAATGGTTAAAATAGTAGGAATCGTGCCAGGAGGAGTGACAGTTAAATCCTATATTATCTTTGTATGATTAATACGAAAGAAAACAGAGCAGATAAAAGGCAGATCTAATGGAAATGTGTGTAAAAACACGAAAGAGAAACGTTTCCCTTTTCCCATTATTCTACACAGAGAAGTGATTTGGTTTCACCTTGGTTTAGCTCACTGGATTACAGCTATCCTGGTTGAGGGGGTGTGAGTCTGTCAAAGGTCACACATTTGAATCCAAGTGGCTTCTTTTCATACTACTCCTACACAGACAGGCCTTATTTTTATATAAAAATGTGTATTCGCAGCATGACCATACATCCATTTAGAGTAGTTGTTGCATCAGCCGAACAGAATCATCAAATTAACTTAAAATGAAACACAGGTGGCCATAAATCCATAAATTCTTCTCATGTCTACACAGCTTAAAGCATCTACCCAAAGTGGCTCACTAAGCCGCCACATAAGGGGAAAAAAAATAGGTCTGGGCCACGCATATCACACTTAGCCTACTCATATCAGCAGGCTGGGTACCACTATGATGGAGATGAACCACGTCAAACCACACACAGTACCAGCAAAACCAGTATCCCCAGCCAACGTGTCCTGAAAGGGCTGCCCGAGGACAGGTTTAATTGTGTCTCACCTCATTCGGTGCGTCAGTCTCCGGTCCAGGCTTTGGATGGAGTGTCCTTTACTTAATGTCTCTCCGCTTCCTTGTTGTTTACAGGAGAAGCCTATTCAACCCTCCTCGGGCTCTGGAGCATCCTTCAGCGGGATCAGCGCATCCACATCCTTCCAGTCGGCCTGCACCAGCGGAGCTTACAGCGCTACAAATCCACCAAACACGCGTTCAATTCTGTCCCATCGTGTAAATTAGAGCCGGGCACCACTGTGGATCTTTTGTCGCCCTCTTTCCTCACTCGTTCGGCCATTGCGCATCAGCTCATCCACCGCGACTCGGCATCGTGCGTCGCCGCATCTTACCGCAGTAGCCTCGGGTGCGCTCAGCGAGCAGGATGACGGAGAGCTAATTTGACTTGCAGCCCACTCACCGATAGGAGGGGTACTTCGTGCCACACAGAGGCAGGGGAAGTGGGGAGAGCGGAAGTGTATGCGGGGTTGTTGATGCCACACTCGGAGAAGTGCTGTTTTTGGGCATTTCGCTTTTTTAAATTTTATTTGACAGGACAGAAGAGAGAGACAGGAAAGGCAGGTGTGTGTGTGTGTGAGAGA